AAATTCTCCCTAATAATATCTACATATCACTTTGGTTACACCCCAAAGCTCTCTGACACTCATTAAGCAGCTAGTTAACTATGGAAATGAATAAAAAGTAATGATATTAACCTTGTTCATGAGATATGCAATAGACTGGGTGAATCCGCTGTGTTTCTCAGCCAGGAATCGATATCTTCTTTCTTCCTCCTTTAACGCCTCTTTCTGACACTCTCTGAGAAAGTGCACATATTCGCTGCCATCCTACACACAAACAGCATTATTACCATAATCATCATTATCATTATTTTTTCATATTTTGTACCGTTATGAATGATAATAATGCCCTACAGCATCAGTTTGGCTTCAACACTCTAAAAAATAGTTGTTTTGTTAGAAACACTACTGTAAGTAGTAGGTGAACAAGTGCCGAGCCCTTGAGCACACACAACCGTTCAAAAGTTGCTGTTTTTTTCAATTTCATAAAACTTTTGAAAGTTTGACGTTTTTACTGTATTTTAGATCAAATAAATGTAGCCTTGGTGAGCGTAGGAGACTTCTTTCAAACATATTAAAACATCTAACCGTCCCCAAACAGAAATGTCCACATCTAGTGTGCCATTAGGTAAGGGTCATGCACTGCTCTCACCTGTGGGACCCCTCGCCTCATCTGTCTCTCCAGTGCCGTTGCCTGGTTTCTCACTTCCATCTCATAGCACCTCCTGCTGCTCTGGAGGAGAAAGTGACCTGACAACATCAACATCTACCATTATATTTTCAATATTCAGATTCATTTCAATCAGATAATGTTCCTTGTTATGAGCTGGCTGAAGGATAAAGAATCTTTTATTAGGTAATCTGCTCTTAAACGTAGTTGTATTTTTAAGAACAAAGGGTGTTTATTCATGTTTTCTGTTCTTACAATATTAATTTTTTGTATGCATTTGCAACATAAACCAAACAACTCACCAATATATATTCTTTATCTAGTCTGACATTGTTGTCCATCTCTCGAAGGACCTCAGAGTGGAACCAGTGGAACTGAATCAAAATCACACAGTCTCATTAAACATGTGATTGGCCGTACAGACAATCAAACATGCATTATGTCAACAACGTTATAGGAGCAGAAGATATCGAAAGATGGGTCAATAGAGGAGGATCGGTAACGCACCACTCCCTCCAGCTCATTGGTGAGTCTCCTCTGACTGTCTGAGATCTGGATCAACACATCACCTGCAACACAAAAACACACATATACACTGTAAAAAAAAATCCGTAAAATTTACGGTAAAAAACCGGCAGCTGGCCTTATAACAGCCATTGTATCTTCTGGTTGAGTGTCCATGTGTTAAAGTGCAAGTATTAGCCTTGAAAGGTTGCACTGCCAAGCTGATGTTGTGTCATCATTTATTATTTAACATCACAGAGAAGGTGCCGTTATCTGATATTCACACACACACACACACACACACACGCTATCATACCATCTCACTGTGGTCATAAAATATGATTCATAGCAACAAAAGCACCATTGAAATTTAATGAAATTTTTCCATTAAACCACAACAGGGTGATAGATGTCAGCTATAAATACACACACACACACACACTCATGTGTGTATGAGAGATCCGAAAAGGAACATGGTGAATTTACTAGAGCAAAGTACAATATGAGTATGTGAAGGACACTGGCTCCCTCCCAATTTATCACCCTCAATAAATGCACAAAACTCTCTTGCTTTCCCGCTCTGTCCCTGCGATGGAAAGTACATATTCATCAGAAAAAAAAGAAAATGAACTGTGTTTCGTAAATCTCTGAGTTTGACAGAAACGTGTCCTGCTGTAATTTAAAAGTGTGAAAGGAAATGAAATGATAAGAGGAAATGTAAGCTTACCCAGCAAACGCGATGACATACTCTGCATGGCCTGTTCACCCATCTTAGACAGAGCACTGAAATAAGCCTCACTGGTGACGGCAAGAGCTATAGACACACATACACTTGATTCATTTACCACTGTAAGAATGATTTCACGTCTTGTTTTCACAGTAATAATAACAACGAAACCTCTTTAAAACATGATTAATTTACTTGAGATCAAATATGAAACATTTGAATTAAATTAGATCAGATTAATTAAATTAGAGTTCACTGTTTACACATACTTTTATATATAAGTAAAAGGCCGATACTTTTATCGAAGGTGACTTTGATTTCATTCATATATTTTATGTTGTCATTATAATTATATAAATAGTTGAATTAAATTAATCATTTTCATTGGGACAGACAGCAAAAAGACAACTACTCTCCTTTCCACCATTATCCACTAAGTACACACCATATTTACAATTTTACAAAATATAAAATATTAACATTATGACATGTAAAGATTTTTAAATGTACATATAATAAAATAAAAAGTAATAATATTAAATAAATGCTAAGTATACTAATATATTGATTAACTTACATCTGAACATCCTTAAAACAAGATTCATTTACTTGAGATAATTGAAAATTGAAATATTTTTTTATTAATTTAAATATGCCACTTTTTTGATGGTGTACAAGACATACAAACACCAGTGACGGATGGCTTCAATGACAACAAACCTGCGTGATATATTTGATTATTCAAATGTATTTTTTAGAAAATGTTTTAATATTTGCAACTGTAAAGGAGATTTGAGAGCTACAGTGAAGAAGGTTTCTCCTTTTGTGTTCCGCAGAAGAAAGAAAGTGATACAGGTCTGGAATGACACGAGGAAGTAAATGATGACAAAATGTTGCTGTTGAGCCAACCCTTTAAGATTTGTTAGACAGACAATATGTGCATTTTGACTGGTTTAATCTGCAGATTTGTTGTCTTGTTTTAATCACATTATTTTATTTCCTGTTTTGGTCATTTTTGTCTCTATTTTTTCTTTGAGCTTAAGTAAAATGTTTAGTTTTTGTTTGCAACACCAATAAGGATTTTTTTTATAAAGTCAAATATTCATTGTCCAGTCAGCAAACCACTATAAAAATAAATCATTTTATTGGTTCTTTAATCTGTTGAAAGATGACTATCAAACAAATGGGACGTTGTTTGATAGTCATCTTTCAAAAGATTTAAGTCTTTCACAGGAACAGGACATCCCTGAGTGAAACTCAAGAATCATAAAACAGACAGTCATTAAACAATGATGTTGAATCAGCCAATGACGCTGCAGCAATGCTGACTTATTATCATCAATGACAACTGGCAGGCCAAAGTTCAACCACTCTGCTTTCCGTCTTTCTCCTTTCATCTTTTACAGTTTACCATCTACTGCATTCATTCTTTCTCATGTAGACTTGCCTTGGAATGCCTGAATGTAGCTGTTTCCCAGTGCCACCAGTCTCTGCAGGCTGGGGTTGAACTGCTCCATTATGCTCTGAGCAGATTGACAAACAGTGTAAGAATCAGAGTCCGATAACAAATCAAATGTCAACACATGTTGTCACTACATGTTACTGCACAACAATCTGTCACCTTGGTTGCAGATTGCTGTTTGTCACAACAAAATGCTCTATCTAAAATCACTTCTGAAATATACCCATTTCTATATATTTCTATATTTTTGTTACTAATATGTATTTATATTGATGATCTATCTATAAAAAAACAAAATATACAATAACTTTATATTTTAAATTATATTTATTTATGTATTGTTTTACATACATCATCTACAGGTGCATCTCAATAAATTAGAATGTCGTGGAAAAGTTAATTTATTTCAGTAATTCAACTCAAATTGTAAATATACAATAATTTTATAATAATTTTAATTATATGATAAGTATTTATATTTATATTTATATAAGATTTTTAAAAAACCTATAGCCACATATTTCTGCACAATATACACATTTATACCAATATAAGTCCACGTCCTTGTATTTTATTAACCTTGTTCTACTCGGTTCATATAGATGTGATAGTGTATATTCACACTCAGGAGTGAGAGGCTTCACGCTTACCGTATAAATGGTCAGAGTGGTGCGGTGCAGCTGATCACTGTTTTGTCCTGACATCCTGATCTGAAACCGTGGCACAACAAACAAATAAACCACATCCACTGACTAAACAACAAACAACCTGACTGACAGATGACCCACTGCTGTCTCCCCCTCGTCTCCTGTGTCCTCTCCTGTCTCGTCCCGTTTGTGAGTGTGTGTGTATGTGTGTGAGAGAGAGAGAGAGATTGTCACCTGTGTGGCCTGTGAATTATTGAACAGTGCAGAGTAATAAAAGTGTGACTACGGTTAGACACCTGCCGTAAACACTGCACACCTGCGATAGATAACAGGATTGGTGTTGAATAGCCCATATTGATTTTGCATTTTTCCAGGTGCAGTGATCAGAAACCTCTGCTAGAGTATAAGTATATTTTATATAAGTATAATAGTATATATAAGTATAATTATTCATATAATAATATTATTGTTGTTGTTGATGATGATGATGATAATAAATAAAAACATAAAATAAATAATATTGCTTGCTCTATAGGCTACTTTTTCTATTCTGTTTTCTTTTTATTTATTATATAATTTTTAAAAAACTTGTTACGTGTACTGCGTTAAGCTAACTTTGACTTGTTATAGAACTTGCATATCATTGCTCTTTTGTTGATTTTGATTGCTTCCTTTGTCCTCATTTGTAAGTCGCTTTGGATAAATGTCTAAATGTAAATAGTTTATTGAAAAGAAATCAATTATACATCTAAAGCATACTAATATTTATGTAGCTAGTACAGAGATATGAACAAATATTACAAATGATATATGATTTTGAAATCATCTATTACATTGTATAAAATGTAATAGAATAAAAAACAAATTATAGGCTACATATTAAGTACACTGATATTTATGCAGGACAGATAGATATTAATAAATAGTTCAAAGGAAAGTACTGTATGAGAATGTAAAAAATAACTGGTCTTCTTTTTCTAATGTCTATTGTCTGTTGAGCAGTGCATTGTTCTTGAATGGGCCGCTGTTTCGAGGCGCACGCGCGTGTTTATGATTGGTTCCCTCCTCCACGGCGCAGTCTCCCTCCATTGCTTCCGCGGAAGAACCCGTCTCTGCTGTCCCACTAAAGATGGAGCTGTCTGCGGCAGGGGACCGAGTGTTTGCCGCTGAGGCCATCATGAAGCGCCGCGTCCGTAAGGTCAGTCTGTTTATTATTAAAACTCGTTTTATTTCCTTTCACTGCGGCCTACAGACGCACTAAACTTCAGCCCTGCGGACCGAGCGCAGTGCACTGAACTGCAGTAGAGCGCCATGCTTTCCTATGCAATCATTAAACGAGTATGCATTCATTTTTAGGGCACTAATTTGACCGAGTTGCTCATTTTTGAGCTCCGTGTGTTGTGCAAGTTCGTTTAGGTTGGAGTGGCGCCCGCTGGAGCTGGTGCTGTTAGCGCGTTAGCTTTTTTAGTGTCTGCCTGGAGTGCAAATTTTTGACAAAGGCCGGTTAGTCTGAGTCCCCATCGACACTGCAGGCGTGCGACGCTACCCAACTAGAACAGTAAGAAGTGTAGCTTAAACAATGAAGACGTTTAACGTTGCAGTGCGTTAAAATCAACCAAACCGTGTATTTACCGTTCGTAAATATATAACGGAATGTTTACGTTTTATATCGGTGGCGTCGCGTCGCGTAGCAACCACTCGTTTTTACGTTCAACTCGCTGTTTGTTTTTGTTTTCAGGACGACCGGCGAATTTTTTTTGAGGGACGGTACATAACAAAATGTTGGTTGTCATATGACCGGGATCCCCTGATACTTAAATACATGAAATAACTTTTTGTATATTGTGTTACACTACGCATGCGCACGCATTTGATTTGCGTTCATTATTGAACGGACATATTTCATTTATGGGGTCAGGATTATTCAAAGGAATAGTTTACCCTAATTTGGGGCGTTTTTGTTAACATTTTACTCTCTCACCCTCTTTCCAAGAGTACACGACCTACTTCCTTCTGTGGAACACAGGTTTTGAAGAATATTTTTTTCCATACAATGGACGTGAATGGGAACTGGGGCTGTCAAGTGCCAAAAAAGAACAAAAATAATTGGCATCTTAGAAGTGGTCCATATGACTATATCGCAAATCCTCTAAAGTCTTAAATTAGCTTTGTCAAATTGACTGCTTCAGGACCCTAAATAGGACAAGCAGTTTGGAGGATGAATGCATATGGACTACTTTTATGATATATTTACACTGCTTTTTTTAAACTCTGAGGAGTCATCTGTATAGAACAAGCTGAGTAAAGATTCTTAAAGACTATCTATTCACGTGTTTCATTAAAAAAAAAAACTGCATATGGTTTAATAACAGCATGATGGAGAGTAAATAATGACAGAGTGATCCTTTTGGATGAACTATTCCATCAATGAAAGATCTCTTCCAGAGATGTTGGGAACTGAATCTGATCTGTCTTTTCCGTAGGGACGGATGGAGTACCTAGTGAAATGGAAAGGATGGGCAATAAAGTAAGTGAACGGAAATATGATTTATATGTTAAGTTTTGTATATCTAATAAGTCATGGATGTTAAATGATCTGTATATTTTGCAGGTACAGCACATGGGAACCTGAGGAGAACATCCTAGATGAACGACTCGTTGCAGCATTTGAACAAAAGTGAGTTATGTGTTTTATTGTTGCAAAATCAATATTTTTCCCGATTAACATATTTAAAGGAAATGGACTTCTAAAAAACTCAGTGTTGTTTAAATGTTCGGAAAAGTGTCTGTATGTATTTTAAAACCAAAAAGAAGGAGGAGGTCCAACCAGATATATTAGTCAATGGTGAAAAATTATAAATTGTGCCGGATTTTAAATATCTTGGAGTTATTTTAGACTCTCATTTAACATTTGAAAAGCATGTTCAAAAAACAGTTTGTGCAGTGACACCTCAACTTAGACATTTTACATTTATACGGAGTCAACTTTCAATAGAAGCTGCAAAAGTTTTTTTGCATTCTTTGATCGTCTCTCATTTTACCTATTGTATTACTTCATGGTCACAAGCAAAATCTACTGTTAGACCTTTATATACCTTATATAAAGTGCTTTAAACGTATTTGACAAGAAACCTAACAGATATCATTGTTTTGCAATTAAAAAGTAAAATGTCAATTTTAGGTTTTACAATTTTTGTTTAATGCACAAAATTATTAATAATCTTGCACCCTCACCCTTGAAATAATTTTTTTCTCTATATTCTGAAAATATAAGACAAACAAGAGCTTCATCAAGAGGTGATTGTGCAGCGCAGTTTAGAGTTACTGATTTTGGTCGTTCAGCTTTTTCTGTAAAAGCTGTTAATAATTGGAATAATTTACCAATTAATATTGTCCTACAGTGTCCTACTTTTGAACTGTTTAAGTTACATTTTAAAAATATGGTTAATGATGAGTCAGGTTTGTGATCAATTCATATTCTTGTGTTGGTTACATAACTATGGTTGTCTTAATTTTTTTGTAATTTTTATTATAGGATGATGTTTTGTAGTATTTATAGGGGCTATTTTGTAGTAACTTGGATTGTAGTCTCTTTGTGGGGGATTATATTTCTTATCTTTTAGATTTGGATGGGGGGTGTATTTTGGGGGGTTATTGTACATGCTATTATATTGATGTTTTTGTTACATAATGTATTTTGGTACTCTCCTGCCCAGGGACAGCAGATGAAATTTAGCTCCGTAGCTCCATTGTCACTGTTAAATAAAGAATTAAATAAAATTACATGAATACTTAAGTCAGAGTCTGAAGTAAAACTTTGTAGTCATGCTTTTTGCTTGTTTGTTGTTCATAAAGCTGAAACTGGCACAACAAGTGCAAACAATGACATAATCAAAAACCTTTTTGAACAACTATTTTTACTCAGAGAGCGGGAGCAGGAGATGTATGGACCTAAAAAGAGAGGCCCAAAACCTAAAACGTTGCTTCTAAAGGTACGTCAGCAATACCAACTGACTGAAAATAAATGTATTTTGTGATGTGCAAAGTCATCTAAATAATTAGTTTTGGAAAAATGCTTCTAAAATATTAAAAATGATCCCAAAAATGAACATTATATCATCATTCCCATTCTGTCATTCCCAACCCATAAGACTTTTGTTCATCTTCTAGCCTAAATAGTGGTCGATCGATATTGTTTTTTTGACAGCTGATGCTGATATCTAGAGAGCAGGGTGGCCGGTGGCTGATATAAAGCCTATATATCGGGGTTGTCAAACTGTTCCTGGAGGGCCGGAGCCCTGCAGAGTTTAGTTCCAACCCTGCTCAAACATACATACAATATAGTTTTCAAAAAAGTCTGAAGGACTTGATTAGCTGGATCAGGTGCATTTAATTAGGGTTTAATCTAAACTCTGCAGGGCTGTGGCTCTCCAGGAACTGAATTTGACACCCCTGCTATAAATATATATATATATATATATATCTTCTAACTTCACCTTGTCATGGCAGGCAAAAGCAAGGTTCTTTCCATTGCTGTCACATATTGAGTCACATGAGTCATTTATTTCTCCCGCTTCCCATGGATACATCAGTATCAGAAATTCAAAACTTGTTCTACGCCACACTCAGTTATTTTGGGTCCTGTGGGAATGCAGACCTCTAGTCAATGCAACCAAAACTTTGATGTTCATAAAGAGATTGCAAAGAAATTCATAGGAATCGAGCAGTTTAATCCAAATCTTATGATTCACTTTTATTTACATATAAACACTGATCAAAGCACATACACGAAGTACATCAAATGTAGCGAACGGAAGCAAGAGTCAACCTCATTGGTTCTTGTGACAGCTCAAAAATACTTGCGTGACTTGCCAAAACAAACCTCATTGGTTCTTGTGCTTCAAGTGTGCATGTTTTTGGATGAATGGACTTTAAATAGAAGGACACAGATATCTTTTATTTATAACATTTGTGTTTCAAAGATGAATGAAGTTCTTATGGGTTTGGAACGACATGAAAGTAAGTAAGAGATGACTGAATTTTCATTTTTTGATAAACTAAATATTTAATAAGTGAATCATTGTTTTACTTTTCCCAATTATTTAGTCAAGAGCGCAGGTTACAGAGACTTCCTCACGAGTGCCACAGTTCAAGCACACTCGTCCTCAACAGCATTCCAAGCTTCCTCCGCCCTCGGCTGCACCGTCCTACACCCCAACCACCCCTTCCAATGCTAAACTGCAGTCGGGTGCTGCTCAGCCCAAACTTAAGAAAGACATTCACCGCTGCCATCGCATGGCACGTCGCCCCTTGCCCCGCCCAGACCAAACAGTCAGTCCTTCTGGTCCTTTTTCGTCCCGTCCAACAGTCAGTCCTTTCTCAGAAACGGTCCGCATTCTCAATCGTAAAGTCAAACCCAGGGAAGTGAAGAAAGGACGGGTCATTCTGAACCTCAAAGTGGTTGACAAGGCTGGGAATGGTGGAGTTGCTAATAGTAGAAGGACACATGTGCCCTCCGCCCAGCAGTCCCATTTTGGGCGGCAGAAGATTCCGTCCCAGAACAGGGTAATTGGGAAAAACAGGCGGTTTGGAGAGTTGTCCTACCGAGGAATCCAGACCCCCATTAGAAGTTCTGGGTTTCCTGTTTTTGGAAAGCTCTTCGAATCTCACTCTCTGAACAATGCCGAGAACCAGACTCAAAGTGGAGAGAGTCGCAATAACACGACAAACAATCTCTCTTCCTCCCAGTCTTCAAAGGTGGATGCGTCCAAAGGTCAGACTCTTGATGAACTGCCTCAATCAAACTCTAGCTCTGAAGTTTCGGACGGCGAGCCACCCTCCCCGCCACAAACCCAATCCCAGCATTCCTCGTTGCAGCCCAAGTCCTCCGCAACCAAGGCCCCAGATCCTACCCTTCACAAACTTAGTGCTCAACCTGTGCCATCCAAAAACAGCTTGGGTCTTTCTGCTCTTCCATCCTCTCCTATGTTTTCCTCATCGTCCTCTGCGTCGTCCTCCTCAGAAGACAGCGAACGCATCCTGGACCTTTCTGTACCTCATGAAATGGACAGGCGATTGCGGCGACGCCATCCCTTCTCTGGCCGCCATCCGCTCAAAGTCCCTGAGGTGCCCGTGTCAGAAGAACCGTCGGAGGAAGAGGAAGATTTGGACTGGCATCCTGACATGACATCCCAATGTGCCAATGTGGTCGTCACGGACATCACAGCGAACCTCCTCACCGTAACGATCAAGGAGTTCTGTCATCCACCCTCTGCTACTCCTCCTCCCTGCTACCCCAAAAATATATCAGCTCAACACGACACAAAACAGCCAAAGCACCACCCCAACAAAACATGAGTGCGGACACCACAGATACGGCCTCCTCCAGCCTTCAGAATGAATATTAGGAGGTTTGTTTGTAGTTTGTTTACAGTTTCAGTTGCCTGGTGCTCATGTGAGTATTTGTTAAGAAATGTGGCCAAGCTGTCCACTCTACAACACTGTGCCATGACTTTTATAACCATGAAAGAATGTCTCTGAATAAGGCTCACTGTGTTTAATCTGAACACATGGACTTTTCTAAGGATGGATTTACTCACCAATTACTTCTTTAAAAATGTGCCAAGCAACTTCCTGTATGGTATTTATTCCTTATATATCATATAATTTCTGACTGGTTTGAATGTATACACTGTCATTCAAAAGCTTGGTAAGATTTTTTTTTTCGACAAGTACAAACAGTATTGTCAAATATTGTTAGAATTTAGAACTGTTGTGTGTTTTAGCATTTAAAAAAAATATTGTAACTTTTCAGCAGCCATTACTGCAACCGTCAATGTCACATGATCCTTCAGAAATCATCCTAATTTGGTGCTCAAGAAGCATCTCTTGTTCATATCAATGTTAAAAACAGTTGTGTTGTGAAATATTTTTATGGAAACATCGATACATTTTTTACAGGATTTACAGGAAGTTAAAAATAACAGCACTTATTTGAAATACATTTTTTGTTACAGTGTGGAAGTCTTTAACCAAAAGTACTAGTATCTTTAAAAAAAAAAATCATACTGATTTCAAGCTTTTGAACAGCAGTATATAATATAAACCAAGTATTATCAACTCACTTCCATACTGGATGCTATTTACTCAATTCAAGTATTTCTGTGAGTGAATGTATTATGTATAGCATCAGTAACATTGAATTGTGCTGTAAACCACAACTGGGGGCTCATTTTAAGACCTTTTTAGTTGTATATTATATTAAAAGTATATGTTAGGGTCCAAATGTATAAAATTAATAGTAAAATTTGGCTGGTAATTTATTGATTACCAGGGCTTTTTTTTTGGCAAAATTATCTGCTGTAATTGTTTCGAATTTTCAAGAGGAAAACAACTATATATTGTCATTAGAGCAGCAGAATGCAGTTTCTTTGCTTGTAAGACATATTTATGGCCATAAAACTTTCTCAATTCACCCGTCAGTTAATTTTGGACCCTGGTTATTTTTGTCTTTAGTTAAACTTTGGCATGTGGCAGGTTCCTGACACAAACATCTCCACCTTTAAGCATCCACACAGCCAGTACCTTCATAATGAAGCAGAATAACAACCATCTGTGGTCAACAACTCAACCATCTGTGTCAAATGTGTTATGTTTTATCTCAGTCGTAACTATCTGGCATGTGTTTATAGTGCTGTCTTACCCACTGTCCCTTTCGCAAAGGGTTTTGGTTAATAGTTATACAGTAAGAAATACTCAGGTGAGAGAATGAAGAACAGGAGGTTTTGTTGTTGCTAAGCTGAAATGCAGATGCAATGCCCAATGTTCAGGAATCTAAGCCAGTAAGCAATGAGTTCCTTCTGTGCTTTTCCTAGATTTTCCCATTTATTTTAGCTGGAAATCTCTGTTAACTGATTACAAAAACTGTTATTTAATGACTTGCGTATTCATGTTAATGTTGTTTTTGTTTTAATTTAGCCTTTTCAAAGACAAATTTGTTCAGATAAAGCTTACTGAAGTGCTCTTTTGTAGAAGATACTCTAAATTCTTGTGCTGCAAAAAGCTTTGAGCTCAAGTTAAGTCAATAAGATCATCTGGCACCCTATCTCTCACTTTCAGTTTGATCACGAATATCACCTAGCCATCCCAGGAATCGCTTTAGTATCATCCTGCTCTCTCTTTATCGGCAGGGATAGATTGATCTCAGCAGAGAGAGTGTGGAGTCTGCGACTTTGAATCCAGAGAAAGAGTATTTGCTTAGACTTTGGCAAAGAGCCTTCTGGGAAAAAGAAGCTTTTAGCTTTTGATCTAGTCCTGATGTGGTTGGAACAGTCTCTACCCTCCAGTGAGGCTTTAATGAGAGCTGATGTTTAAACCCCATGGTCTTGGGTCTTGATGCAGAGTTTAAACAAGAAAAGGCACAAGCGTGATGTCATTGATATGGAAACTTTTGCTGTGGCCAAACACAATATTTAGAGCTTTGCTTAGGGTCACAAAATGAGCTCATAGTGCAGATTCCCTTATGTTCCTGGCGTGCCTTGTTCTCAATGTCCAACAAGCCTTTTATATACCTTATTTAAACTTTATTGTAAAGCCAGGACTTGATTGATTGACTCAAAAATGAATAGCCAAAATTACCACTCTAGATTACTTTAATTAACCTTAATTTATGTGATGTTGCTATTTAAAATTGAAGCTCTTCAATGTGTATTTTCATTAATGTGTTAACTCTCAATGGGATTTTTGGTCTGTTTTAGAGTAAGTTCTAACGATTTATGTACTTTGTTTTTATGTTTTGTTTTGTTTTTGTTTTGTTGCTTATGAATATCTATTTATGTCATCAGCGATCAAACTCTCAGTCCTGCTCTCTGCAGCTTTATGGTTTGCACCAACATTTTTGGTCCTAAATCGCTGATATTTTCAGCAAACACTGAATCTTCTGATCCTTGTGGCCTCCCCTGTAATCCCACTTAACCAGCACTCCAAGACGTGTGCATGGAGAAGGATTGAGAATCAAGATTTCCTCTCAAAATCCCCATCAGGAGATTGGCTCTGAGTTCAGGGCATCATTCTGTTTATCCCGCTGAATCCTGACTCTTATTATTCTTCCACGTCTGCTGACAGTTTAGCTCAAACCTCCATGATGAGGATGTTTTAAGGACACACTCTCCCGTTGACCTGTATTAAATGGATTTTTATTGCAATGGAGTTGTTTTTTTAGCCATATTGTTTTTGTTTTTTCTAAATGGCAAATTTGAGGAATTGCAGATTCCTCAGCACTTAGAATGCATGTTTTCATGTTTGTGTTATTTAAAAAGATTAAACGTTAATGCACTCGTGCCTTTGTGCAAAAGAAGAGTTTTTGAATATGTAAATATTTTCAAACTGATCATGCATAGCTCTTATTTTGGTGTGATTCGTTTGAGTGAAGTTCGAATATGTGGAATTCATTTCTTGGAAAGAGCCTGCAGCTCCGGTTTCAGGTACATCAGAATGGACATAGCTTTCCCATTACATTTATATACACAAAACATTGTGAGTAGCGTTTTATTGTGTTGCCTTGACAAAGCCAATGTACTGTACTATTATACTGTACACACTTATGTTAACATCCTAGAGCATTCAAACTACATCCAGCAGACCCATCACAGTCCTTCAGACTGTTCTCACTTCTTTTCAAACTGACTTACTTGATTTCCCAAGACAGTTAAATATCCTGTAGATTTGAACTGTATTTCCTGACTTTTCAAGCTATGTCAACCAAATCTTTTAGTCAGCTAGTATATTGGACTGCCTACAAAAGACTTAAACTTCTAGTGAACCTTCAAACTTTCAGGCCAACATTCAACCAAATCTGTAGCATCAGCTGAGAGTGTTAAGCACACAGAATATGCGCAGATCATTAATGCCCCAAATGTTCCTACATTCCTACAGCCCTACATTCACTGTGTAACTTCTGATCCATTCTGTGTAGTTTTGACATTGATCGGGCTTCAACAGTGATTGTGTGTTTGAGAGAAAAAGGGAATGCATTCTTCATCTCCAAGCTGTCTGAAACAGCTTGTTAGCCAGAGATGATTATGTGAATGATTTATGCATTCAATGTCCTCTTGATTTGGTGTTTTTTATCTTTCTTATCATGCTTGATTTTTATTCTGTACTGGCCATAGCAAAAATAATTATTTTTCATTGCCTTATGTATTGTGTACAGATTTGTAATTGACAAAGTGTTGAAAATCATGAAACATTTTGTACCGTCTTTGAAGTAGAAGTTTAGCTAAGCTCACTGGCCCTGTTTTAATAAAGGAATAGCATTTGTGATTTTGCAAATTATGCAGTGTTCATTTGTATACATAATGATCATGTCAATATAAAACAACACCGTTAACAAGTGTAATTCAGAATAGATGTACAGTATGGAAGATAAAATATTATCAGTGTATTCTGCAGTTCTGCAGACCAGACATTGGTTCACTTTATTCAAGGTGTTCATTCAAGATGGTGTTATTTTAATTTATTGTAATCAACATAGTTGCAACATTTTACATGTAAAGATGGGTAAAAAGAAACATTAATAACAGCTCTGTGATGTTTCAATGTTTTTATTACTCCACTTGTCTGTGTTCACAGTGATCCAGAAGCAAAGAGGAGTTTTTGAATGTCAAAGCGTCAGTGTTTTCTCTTGAGAAGATTGCTTGAAGCAGGTTTCTCTCACTAGTGAGGAAATGTGAAATGGAGTGGAGCTGGAGTAATTATAGAACACTGGTAAGTCCATCCATTTCAGTTCTGCTTTCTTTTTTAAAGGGGTCATATGATGCAATTTCATTTTTTCCTTTCTCTTTGTCGACGATATCCGCTTCGTCATGCTTAGAGCTGATATGTGCTGGTCGCTGAGGGAATACTTCAACTTAGTGTTGTGGATCGCCAGCACATTTTATGGAGGACTGTTTACTGATCCTGGGAGAGTAACATTAGGCTAAAATGCCAGCAGTTCTGACTCACGTAAGTACGTTTTCTTTTATCATTTGCCACTGATGATTCAAACGCGAGTTTTGAGCAGTGTAGAGTAGCACTTGTTGTTTGTCATTTCTCTGATCACAAATGCAGACAGGGTTTTATGTTTACGCGGCGCGATGCAATGCAACGCAACGCATAAAAAGACAGTATAAGTCATTATAATCAGTAATTATGTCCCCACTGGATGCAACAAATACCTCGTTTGTAATGGGTTTTAATGTTTTTGTGTCGTCGCTCCGGCTGGGACACGCCATCACAGTATGGTGAGGGGCGTAACACTTCCGTCACACGCTCGAGGTATTCGGCCAATCACAACGCACTGGATAGCTGGCCAATCAGAGCACACCTCGCTTTTTCAGACCGATGAGCTTTGTAAAAATTGACGCGTTTCAAAAAGGCGGGGCATAGAAGAGCAACAATAATGTACAGTTTGTGGAAAATAATGTGGTTTTTTTACTTTAAACCGCATAAACACATTTCATTACACCAAATTCACAAAATAATGTTCTTTTTAGCAGCATCATATGACCCCTTTAAACGCGAGTTATTAAAGGGATAGTTCACCCAAAAATTAAAGTTCTGTCATCATTTGCTTACCTTCCACTTGTTCCAAACCTGTATGAGTTTCTTTCTTCTGCTGAACACAAAAGAATATATTTCGAAGAATGTTGGTAACCAAACAGTTGACGGTAGCCATTGATTTCCATAGTATGAAAAAAAAATACTGTAGAAGTCAAAGGCTACTGTCAACTGTTCA